GAGAGAGAGAGAGAGAGAGAGAGAGAGAGAGAGAGAGAGAGATACTCTGAGCTCCAGATGACCACTGCCATGTGGGAATACAGAAGGCCCAGGATAAACCACCTTCTCAGTAACCATGAAAAGCTGAAATTATGAATTTTTAGATAGACTGTTGGCAACTAACTCAAATTAAAGCAAAACAAGACTTGTCTGGGCCACAAAAAAACCCCATCTACATGCCAGATCTAGTCCATGGGCTGCTGGTTTGAAAACTGTCACTGGAAGGCTTGGAACCTTTGAAATTCCTCCATTTCCCCTAATGGGCTCCCCGAAAAAACGCTGCGTTCTCACTGACCTTGGAACATACCATTCCCCTGCCTGGGACGTCTGCAGCTGCTGGGATGGCCCCTCCACACCTTCAAACCTTTGCCTGAACATGGTTTCCTGTCCTCAGCTCCCTGGCCTGGTTAGGTAGCCCTGCTTGTACCCCCATCACCATATACCCATTGCTGGAATCCCCCCTTCAATCTTGTCTTCTTTGCTGTACTATAAGCTGCATAAAGCGGGGATGGGGTCTGTCTTGTTCAAGGCTGTATACCAGCTCCCTGGACAGGGTGTAACATAGGAGACTGTGAAGTACATGCTGCCTGATGACTGAATAACTGCATGGACAGACGAACAGACGGAGGAATAGATGGGTGGGAAGGTGGATGGACAGGTGGATGTAAGGACAGAAAGATGACTACCTACCTAATGCCTCATAATAGGAGTCCTCAGACCAGCCATGGGGGTCAAACATATCCTGAAAGAGAAAAGGTTAGAGCTGCAGTCAGGAAGGGCCATCAGATGACAAATAACTTAAAAACCCAAGCCCCCCTCCACACGTCTTTCATGGATCTTCTCAGCCTGGAGCCCCTGACTTCTGGGGCACAGTGGCTCAGCTGTTCTCCCTAATCTCCAGCCAAGGGGGTGGCCAATTGCTCTCAGGAAGATGAGCGCAGTGATGTGCTTGCCCACAGGCTGCTCCATAGGAGCCAGAGTGTCCTTGCTCAGGCCCAACGCCAGGGACCTGGGGCCAGGTGTGAGGCTAAGGTCTCATTAATGGATTATTTCCCAGGAGCGGGGGCTCAGATGACACAGATGGGACTGTGCTCGTCAGCCGGCAGTGCAGCCACATGGACCTTCCCTCAACCCAAGCAGAGCCCAGTGCAAGCACAGGCCCTGGGGCTCTCCCTCCCTCACCCCCAGCCTCCATGTGTGGGATGTACCTTTGGGTAGTTGGTGCCAAGCTCATCGATTGCACAGAACTGGATCAGCTTCTCATAGATGCTGAAAGAAGAAAATGCCAAGGCCCTGAGCAGGCCCACAGCCCTGTGTGGCACTAGAGTTTAAGGGGTTAAAACCATCCAGCTCCTGGGCTCAGATGAAATCTTTAAACCCAGGGGAACTGTTGTCCTAAGCAGGCTTCCTGATGGGAGGGGAAATGCCCAGGCCTAACAAGGAACGTCATTTCTGCCCTCCACTCTCATGCGAATGAACTTTAGCCAGGGGCCAACAAGTACAGTGTCGAGGTGAGAGCTGTGTTTTTTGGGTCTTACCTGGACATCTGACCTCCAGCTGTGGCTGGGTTGGGGCCACCTCACTCAGGCCCACACAAAGGCCAGGACAGGTCCCTGCTGTCACCACACCAGACTTCCCCAGGTGTTCCCCTTGCTCAGGCACTGGACAGAGTAAGACCCAGACACAGCCCTGTTCCTAAAGCCTACATGTAGAATCAGGGACTTCTCAGTGGTGAGAGAAGGGCCCACAACAATGGTTTAGTCCAAGCCCCTCACTGTACAGATGAGGAATCTGAAGCCCTCTGAGGCCACGTGCTTTGGGAGCAGAGCAGGGATGAGAACCCAGCCGAGCTCCCCATTCTAGGCCAGGCCTCCTGGCTCCCACTCCACACTGGTTTATGTTCAGCCTGGACTAAAACAGTAAACCTCCGGCTGGAATAGCAGTCTGGGTGATGGCCCCTCTGGGATCAGTGGGATCTTAGCTGGGTCACTCCTTGCCACCTCCACGGGAGCTCCCCAGGCCCCAGTCCAACATCAATGACTCAGCCGACCCTGCAGGCTCCTGGGACATGCACCTGGGGTTCCGGAACTCTTTCTTCCTTTGGATAATGTAGTTCATGTCCATCCCCTCCTTCATCTTCCTCTCGTAAAGCTTTTGGATCTTGTCCTAACGGCAGAGAAACAGAAGGGCCACGACGTCACTGTACCTGCCAGTGTGCTGTGTGGACACGTGGACACAGGAAATCCAGAGCTGCATGAAGCCCTGTTCCAACCACACTGGCTTTCTCCACCCTGCCTTTGACCTGCGCTGAGCTGAGCACAAGTAAAGGAAGCTGAGACCAGCCTGTTAATACTTCGCTTTCTCCTAACTCCCTCTGCATGGCTGGTAGGGTAAGCAGTGAAACAGTCAAGGCAGAGAAGCCATGGACGAGTCCCCACCTGGTTTGCAGCTCCTGAATCATCTGGAGAGGAGTTTTAGGCACCAGCAGTGATGGGCAGGGGCGGAAGCTGGTTTGCATGTTAACACGGGGCTAGGCCTGCGGTGGGGGATCTGAAGGCTGTGTCCTTTCAGAGGGAGGCGGGAGTGGAGTTTTTTGGATTTGGTCTCACAAACTTCCTAGAATGTCCTTTGTGGGGAGGCTCACAGATGGCCAGTCCCCACCACTTCGAGAGGCACCACCAAGGATCAAGAGTTCAGCTCTCACTTGCAAGAGGAGGTGGGCTGGGCTGGAATTCCAATGGGTACCCTTTGGGAACATCAGGGGAGGCGAATGGCTCCCTTTGTTAGAAGGCCAATCTTTCTGCTGAGGTGGCCAGAGGAAGCACCAAGCCTGAGAGAGGTTTGGCATACATTTACTAGGGAAGAGAGAAGCCAGAGGGACAACTCTCAACGCTATGGCAAAAGTGGGGAGGGAGGCCTGGTACACAAAGCTTGGCATGTGGCAGTGGACCTCTCTCAGATAACTTTCCTGTCCCCTGGGCCATCAGATGGCCCCCGTCTCAGGTGAACTGAAAGGTGTGCTTTGTCATGTTCTAGCATTGGGAGGATCTGAGGAGGAGAATATTCTGAACTTGAAGGCTGAGCTGGCTGCTGTCTCAGCCCAGCAGACTGCTAGACTGTCCTTACAGGCTGTGACTTGTTGCCTGGTGTACAGGTTACCCTATGCTGGCGGGTGATGGGCAGGAGTTGACGACTCAGCAGAGGGAGGAGACTTCCGGAAAAGCAGGAGAATCTTCACTGTGCCCAGAGCCCCAGTCTGCATTCCATAGCCCCAGGTCCCATTAGTCACCCATCCGTTAGGGTGGTGTATGGGCCTGTGGACTAGCCCGAGTAGAGGCTCCAGCAGAATCTATGGGATCAAAGGTAGAGCAACTCCACCAGCTGCCACCCCACCATTGGGCAGGGGACCTGCAGACAGACCAGAAACTATCTCAGAGGCTAAAAAGGCTGGACCCCAGCTATCCCCAAGGGCCTGTCCCAAGGGAGTAATTACATTAAACGCTCCACGGCCTTGGGGTTTCAAAACCTTAGCTCAGGTCTACATGAAGTTGTATCACAAGAGAAGCTAGTGAGTGGACATTTTTGGAATACGATGAAATTTTATGCTTAAAAAATGCTTGTGTTTTACATTTCTATCACTTATTTTACATTCTAATGGTCCCTCAGTTTCTTAGCAAAGTCCCTTCTGAGATGTTCCCACTGGCTCAGCTGGTTGCATATAGAAGGTATGTTATCTTCTCTGCCTAGGCTTAGGGCCTCAGAGGGCAAGCTAGAGTGCTCCAGCCAGGGCAGCACCGGGTGATGGGGCGGAGGGTGGAAGTGGGTACACAGCCAACTCCTGAGAGCCGGCTAAGGAGGTAACCGGGACTGCAGGCTCCATCTTACCTGGTCTGTTTCTTTCACAGATGCCTCTTGAAGTCAGACCAAACCAGACACCTAGCCTGGCCCCCTCATCTCCACACCTCGGCAAGCAAGCTCTGTACTTACCTGCAGGTGATTCGAACATCTGCCGGGGGGTTCAGGCGGGATCTTGATTTCATCAGGTGACATGTTCCGCACCCTTTCAGAAAAGGAGGCTGTTGAGAGAACAGAGAGAAAAATTCTGTAGGGAGGTGGGGGTTAGGGTAGGGGGTACATACGGACAATGGAGAGGGAAAAAAAGCACATAAAATAGGGTGGTGTCATCTGAGTTGAGATCACATGACCAGAAGGCGCCAGCATGTGTAACTTGGGGTAAGCAAAGTTCAGGCAGAGGGTACAGGTGTAAAGAATGTGGGCCACCATGTCACAGAAGTAACTTTCAAGGAAAGAGTATGTCCAGGGGGTGTTGGTAAATGGGAGGTGGGGAGAGGAACAGCCACGGTTTGCAGCACTTGCCAGTTTCCATGGTGTAAATTCTGCCATGGCCAACACCAAGCTACCAATGTGAAGTTGCCAAACCCAGGGCCAGGGAGGGATGTGCATACTGGCTGAGAGTGTGAGCCAGCTCCAGCCCTCTACTGGCTGTGTCCCTAAAGCAGCCTCCCAGGATTCTGGAAATTCAGAGTTGGCTACCCTTCTCATCCCGAGAGAGGAGAAACAGGGTGCAGGGCTCCCTAGGCTTGGGGGCTCCAAGCATTCAAAGCTGCCTTGTTCATAAATGACATTTTAAAAATTACCTGTGGGAGATTAGCTTAGGGTCTTTTAAAAAATCAATCAATCAATCAACCAACCAACCAACCAACCCTCTTTTGGTCCACCCACCTCATTCTTGGGAACAAAAGGCCTGACTGTGATAGGGAGAACCGCAACTCCCAAGGGATAAGTCCCTTGGAGACCCGCCACTGCCCACCCAAGTGTCTCTCTCCCCCACTCCTTTCCCTGGGCCTTGGCCGCCCTGGTGACTGCAGTCGTGCTCTGGATCACCCAGACAATGCCCCGTTTGTTGTGAGACTCTGTCTGTGCTCTTTAAAACATTCTCTCATGAAAAGGACCATACAATGAACAAATAGCAGGCAGAATGGGGTGGGGCAGGATGAAGAGAAAGAATGAACAAACCAGCACCAGTAACACCCAGCAAGCACTTACTGGGTAGCCCGTGTGCCAGGCCCCGGGCCCCAAGCAGCTGCCGCACTGCCTCGGGATGGCCTGACACAGCCTTCCCCTCTCCTCTCCCAAGGCTGGGTCATGTTTCTTAGCATATAAGGGGCCTTGATTACCACTGCTGCTGTAAAGAACTCAGTGCTGAGCATGGTTGAGGGTCTGGCTCCCTGGATTCACCAGTCTCAGTGGTGGCCGGACAAGCCTGAACACTGCCAGCACCGAGGCTGGGAACAGTCAGGACAGGATGTCACAAGACGGCTCCCCAGGCCGACTCTCAGTCAATGAACCCGCACCAGGCGCACCCAAGAACTGAGCACTAGAGCTGCCATTTTGGGTGAGGACAAGAGGACTGAGCCCGGGTGACATATTCTGCTGTGGACCTGAGACAGCAGTGCAGCCTTGGAGCAGTTTCTCTTTGCCCAGCACCTTCCTTCTGCCTCCTGACTCTTGACTCCTGAAGCAAAGGTGATATCCAGATCTGGCTGAAGTTCAAATCCTTCTGACTTCCTTCTGCCTCCCAGCCCTGGGAGAAACAGGAGTTCAAAGCCCGAGATTCAAGCAGGCTGCAGAGGCGGGCTGAGAGGGAGTTAGCTGGGGTGAGCGGGTCCTCTGATTTCATGAGCATCAGCAACAAAAGCGAGCAGGGTCTGGGCAGGCTTTGGGCACATAGCAGGGAGGGTTAAGCTATTCCCTGGGGTGGAGAGTGTATGTGTGCACGTGACACACAGACAAAGAATGCCCTTTGGCATTTTCCAGGAAAGCCTTTAGGAAAAACAGGGTGTGACAGTGTTGCCATAGCTACCCAACCACACTCAAATGATACACAGTATGGTAGGGTTAGGGTTAGAATTAGAACAAGAGAATTCCTAGGAAGTAGCTGGCATACGAAGGGATACATTCAGGAAACTAAATAAAAGTTTATCTCACCAATTTCAGGAATGAACCTCTTAGTGATTCATTCCTAAGTCCCAGGTTAAATTGAAAATAGAAGACATCAGACCCACCTATGTGGCAGTTTGAGCAGCCAGAGCCTCAAATCATTTTCCCAGGAAACACACTGAGAAATGTGCCCAGCACTGGGGGGCAGCCGTGTCTGTGGCTGCTCCTGGGTCTGTGGGCGGCCACACTCAGGATCTGAGGAGCCTTCTGTGGGCATGATTCACTCCTGTGCACGCCCAAGTCAGGAAACATCGATGGCATTCATAGCTGCCAGGTATCAATCTAGCAGGAGCACTAGTCAGCTGGGCTTAGGTAACAACAGAAGTGAAGGGATGCCTGGCGGGTACTGTGGGGCTGTGGGCAGGAGGCAGAGGAGTGTCTCTAGCTCACAAGACACTCGAAGCACCCAACTGGATTGCTACCCAGGTGCAACGGTGCCAGGCACACCTATGAGGCATCAGTGGGCACCTGGAGAGGAAGGAGAGTGTGCTCAAGCAGCCAAGTGCTGGAGAGACCCATAGGTGAGCTCCTCTGCTGTCACTTGCTCCATTAAATCTGGGGCTGTCTGCACAAGTAAACGCTTCCCACACCAGGAGAGCAACCCGAGTCCTCCACCCAGAAAATGGACGGAAGGAGTGGGGTTCGGCAGAGGGGCCAACAGCCGCAGCACCGGGAGCACAGCCTCTGCATTCAGCTAATATCTCCTCTGTGAGAAAGGGTAACAGTAATCAGACCTATGAGGCTTCAAGGTCCATGTGTGTCCTTTAAGGTGAGTGGATTAAAGGGATGGTGGTGAAAGAATATTTTGCACTAAAAAGATAGAAACCATGGCTATGCTCAACAGCAGGGATGGATGTTAAAAACAAAAATGGAGACTATGATTCCATCTGTGTCTACGGTCCCACTGGGGGCAGTTCTGACTCTCTAGGGAACACCTGGCAATGTCTAGGAACATTTTTCACCGTCACACATGGGGCGGGAGGAGGGTGGTGCTATTGACCTCTAGTCCGCAGAGAACAGCGATGCTGCTAAAACAGTGTCCAACGCACAGGCCAGGCCTCACAACAAAGAATTACCCAGCCCCCAAATGTCCACAGTGCCGAGGTTGAGAAATCCTGATTTATATGACATTCTAAAAAGAGGCAAAACCACAGTGAAGAAAGGTCACTGCTTGCCTGAGGCTGAGGGAGGAAGCTGTCTGCATGGGGAGGGGACGAGGGGACATTCTGGAGTCATGGGGATGGTGTATACAGTTGCGGGGGGGTTAACATGACTACATTATCTGCCAGACTCATCAGACGGCACACTTTAAATCGGCGCATTTTACTCTGTAAGTTACATTTTAATAAAGCTACTTTCAAAGAGTGGAAAGGAAGAAAAAGTGAAAGCTGGTCATGGAAGAAGTCGGGCAGACGTGGCTGATGCCCACGCACATGCCACCTGCTGGGCTCGAGCACTGCTAGCGGGACAGAGGACAATGTGGCCTCCAGCTCCCAGGTGGGCTGCTCTCTGACCCCCAACCCCTCTCCCACCCCCGGTTTCTTGGTAGTAAACAGTGAAGATGATGGGGTGTGGGAGGGGAGAGGAGTCCTGGGGCTCCAGTCTGTCCTCACCCCATGGGTCACCCACTTGGGGAGGCCATGGCATCCTGGCAGGGGGTGCGCTGCTTCTCTGTCCACAGAGCCAGCTGGCTAATCACCACAGTGCCATTTTCTAAAGAGCAAACCCTAAGGTTTCAGGAAAGTTCTGATTTTTATAGGATTTGAAAGACACACAACTCCATTCATCAGAAAATTCAGAAATAAAGGCAGAATCCTGCTGAGGGTCTGGGCTGATCAGTATGGTTGTGCTCCTACCCAATCCTTCCTCAGGAGATAGACATAAAGAGTAATTTTCAGGTCTTTCAGTTAGGAAAACCAGAATGGGTCCCACCTTCCATTCCCAGTGAAGGGATTGTGTCTAGAAAAAGGACAGGTGGAGGTGCTGCAAGAAGCAGTGTGTCCAGGCTGAGTCCCGGGCTCCCCAGGGCTGGGCTCTGCAGGCTGCTGGGGGAATGGGACCAGCAGCTGGGGAGCAGGGAGAAAGAAACTGTCACAAGTGCCACAGAGAGGGAGGGTCAACCCCTCCGTGAGGTTTGCCTGGGCTGTGGGAGAGCAGTTACAAAGTCCAGGGCCACGCTGAAGGAGCTGAGGGACTTGTTAAAGGATTAAGAGGCTGGGCTGGCCCTGCAGGGCGTGGCTCAGCGGTTGAGCATCGACCAAGGATCCAGGGGATCGTAGTTCAATTCCCGGTTGGGGCACATGCCCGGGTTGCGGGCTCGATCCTCAGTAGGGTGTGTGCCGGAGGCCCGATCACTGACAACTCTCTCATCATTGATCTCTCTCTCTCTCCCTTCCTCTCTCTGAAATCAATACAGACATATTTAAAAAAAAAAAAAAAAAAAAAAAAGAGGCTGGGCTGGTGTTTACCAGACCAGGATGCCATTTTCTAGAAATGTAACCACCCTGCCCTCAAGTCACAAAGGGCTCCAGACTCCAGGGCTGTGAGGCATGCTCTCCCCCAGGGACAAAGTGCCAGCAGAGGCCACATGGTTGCTCCTTGAGCACATGAATATGGCAACAGAGGGGGAAACGGGGGGTACGGGGAGAAAGGACGGGCCCAGGACACAAGGGGAACAAGCTCCCAGCTGAATGGGGCCCTGGTCCCTCCTGACAACACTGGCAACTGACCAGAGCCCAGTGAAACACACCATGACTATGATTTTCAAAGGAGAATTGTTCCTCGGTGTCTTACCCGGGCACCGCAGGAAATGCCAAAGGCCCTGAGAGAGAGGCGAGGCAAGGATCACAGCAGAGCAGCTACCCGGCTGAAGCAGAGAAGCCTGATGCCCACAGGCCCCGCATGGCTGGAAGCCAGTATGCTCCAGCAAGGCTCAGAAATATGCCCTAAGGCTCCTACTGGGCACTTACCAACTAATTCCTGCGGATCTCGCTTTTCTACTTCTGGGTTATCCTGCAAAAGACAAACGGATACAAGGAGGTGAGCCTGGTGCTCCTGACTCAGTTACTTTTCGAAGAGACTACTCAGGATGCTCGAGGAAGGAAAAAGGTGAAGGCACTACAAGGCTTCCTGAGTGGGAGCCAATGCTTTAGGGCCTTCTGGGACCCCTGAACCCCCTTCCTCTTTCATAAGAGCAGCTGGGATGCTCCAGTCACCTGCTTCAATCTCTCTTCACGGCCTTTAGCAGGGACCAACACCCACCAAGGCCGAGCAAAATGAAGGCCAGCCATCACCACCCGCACACCTGGACCCTGTCCTACGCTGTCCCCTGGCCAGTCACCCCAGAACACCACCGCCCCAACCTGGCACTGAGGAAGGAAGAGGGGGCTACCTTATAACGTGAAACACCAACACTAAACACAAAAGACTCTCTACTCAAAAGAGACTTTTCTAACTTTTAGTTTAAGCAAAAAAAGGGAGACTTTATCACAGGGGTAGCCCATAGAACCCTGGCGCAGACACGTAGTGACCTTTCACATAAGAGTAACCGAACCATGGAGGCCGCCTCTCTCTGGCTCTCCTCGGCTCATGTCTAGCTCTTTCCATCGGCTTTATAGTCTCTCTAAAGAAAAGTTCTCTGAGCCCTGATGCAAACTACCACCCCCAACACCTACTTCCATGCATCCTTTGTATTAGCAGTGCAGAAACCTAAGAGCAAAGGTTTTCTGGCAGATGTTTTTCTGGACTTGCTCTGCTGAGTAAATGCTTCACCTAAACCAGATCTATCTGGAGAAGACGGGCCCCAGCCTTGCGCAAGCCTGGCACAGGGGAGGGAGGCCTTCCCTCGATTCCACTGTCTCAAATGTACTTAGCCCCTCGAACACAGATCAGGGGGCCTTCAAGTGCCACCACATGCTAACAAAGTGGCAGAAGCGGGGCTCCCAGAAGTTGCCGGGTCTCATTTGCTTTTGCTCTGGTCAGTGAGGGAGGAGGTAAGACAGTAACGACTCTGGACAAGGTTAGAACGTGGGAACAGTTGCAGAGCTCCAAACTCCACTTGCAAGGAAACATTACACCAAGATAACGTGTCAGATGGAGGCGCAGGAAGGCTGCCTAACCCCCTCCCACGCCATGGTTCTCTGCTAAGACTAGAGAAGACCTTAGCTTCCTTCCCCCAAAAGTCCCTCATGATTGTGGGGCAGGCCCAAACCCCCTCATTCTCCCAAACACTGTGGTTCTTCATTGGACCCGCATACTGTCCAGGCCAGGCTGCTTAGCAACCTGCTCCTCTACCCCCGCCAATCAGGTGGGCAAAGAGGAGTGGGCCTGCACTGCAGCACAGTGGGTCAGAGGCACGCCTGGAGGGCTGCCACCCAAATTCAGGCTGGTCATCCATCAGCTGCTCCTCGGACAGTGCCAGTCTCCAGGGGCCCCACAACAATCCCTTTGTAGTGGGGACTCAGGCGGAACAAACGTTAAAGAGCGTGACAGTAACAAAATGTGGGGCCATAAAAGGCCCTTAAATTTTCCTGTGGGGGCCAGCTTTCTGGGTGCTAATTGTGGGAAAACATCAGCTGGGTACATCCTACCTCCTCTCCTGGGCCAGCTGGTTGGTCACAGGGGGTACTGACCCGTTAACTATTCCAAGGCTGCCTAGGGGGCTCCTTCCCAAAGCCCTGCAGATGCAGAGCCGAGGAAGGAGGCAAGACGTTCATGGGGAATTGTTGGAATTCTGTGTGTCTACTCCAGAGGCACAGGAAGTTAGTCACCAAATGCATGTCTCTTCAAAGGGGTTCTGTTTACTCTAGAGGCTCCTTGGGGAGGTAAAGGCCCTGAGCCTCCTTGTGGCTTCTTGTAGGTTTTCTGTCCCTGGCAATGGGAGGTAGGAGGGGAGGGAATCCCTGCATTTCACAAGGTCCTTTCCTGGCTTAGCAGAGGTGGTTTAGTCTCTTCTTTTTTGGCTTGGATCTTCATCCCCCTCAGATTAATCATTCTACACATACAAAATAAAAAACAGTTGGTTTCAATTTGCCAACTAGTCTTTGCTTTTTTACCCTCATAAAATATGCATGTATAAACACACACACGGGTGCTGCATGCCTAGAGTGTACCCTGAGCCCCATGGAGCTATGACTCTTAATCCCAAACCCAGTGTCCCCAGGAACAAGTCCACGGTCACTCTAAGCAAAGGGAGGACCAACAGATGCGGACCCGACTCCAAGTGTGAGAAGATTGTCCCTCCTTAAGGGAACCCTGTAGGCCAAACCTGTAAATGAACCTCCACAGGTTTCACAATTCTGCACAAAAGTCTCCTGAAAAGACTCTGGAATCTGTGGTTGTTTGGATTCCCTGTTTGTGTCACAGGCACCTGTAGGACTTCTAAGGCCCCAGGGAGTCAAGCAATGGGAACCTGTGTCTCCTGGCGGTCTCACCTTGTTCTGTATCAGAATGTAATTCTTTTGCCCTCTGACCGAACCAGCTGGGTGGTGAGCTCCTGGGTACATGTCACTGTACCAACGTGCCGCTGAGAAAGAACACCAACAACCCAAGCTCTTTGGTACCCTAATACAGTTTAAGCCCACACCTGCCCTGAGCATGAGAAGGAAAAGGCTTGGTTATGCCGCACAGTGAAGGGCGTGAAGCCCCATCGTCACGTGTTCTTCAAACAGACTTGGGTCCAGGACTTCGAGTGATGCTGACGAAAGCTCAGCAAGGAAGGAGTCAGGGTGTCTGGTAAGACCAGTGCAGACAGGTGTCAAATATGCTTTTAGAATCACAAGCAACTGTCCTTTGAGGTCAGTTTAATCCAATGAAAGTAGCCTCGGGGAAGGACAGGACTTGGGGGTGGGGTGAGGGTATCCACACTCAAGACGAAGACACAGAGAGACACCCTCCTCCCCGTCACAACCTAGTCACGTACCAGGAATTCAGTACGAAAAAGAACCCAGCACCTACGACAGCTATCTTGGAAGCCATCCATGGTGTCAGAACAATCATTTGACAATGTGTTTAAAACGAAGAGCTGAGGAGACAGCCAAAAGGTTCACATTATTTAACTGTCAGTAATTTTAAGAAACCGGTCTGACAAAAGCTGCAGTCGGGAGATTCTCTCTGTGCCCTTAAAGAGGCAGGAAGGGGATAGTTAAGAGGTACAAGTGAAGCGCAACAAGAAAGCACTGTTCCTTTTCTTCCCTTTCCCCAAGGCAAGGTTTCGCAATGCGCAGGAACACCTGTCTTGACTTGTGTGCACAGGGACATCTGTCTGGACTGGATGGATCCACCTCTGGCCTCCAGGTGGATATTCGCAATTGGTCACAGTATGAACTCAGCCTGGTGATCTGTTCACCACACAAGTGTCTGAGTCAGCTGGGAGGCAGACCCTCGAAGCCCAAGACCTGGACAGACCTGGACACCGAGCACACGCCCTTCAGACACATGGGCTGAGGAGTTTCCCCAGTTCATTAGGAAGGTGGAAACAAAGCATCTCACCTAGGAGAGCATCTCACCTAGCAGCTCCTGCAGAAAGGACCAGGTACACCGCTTCAGCTCTAGTTCAAGTCCAAGCGAGACACAAGGAAAAACAAAACAAACCTCAGAAGCTGAGAGAAGACAGGAACAAGGAGACAGCACTGAGCTGCCGGAGAAACCAAACTCGGAGACCCCCTCTTCCGACTGTCCGCACCCTGCCAGCTTTCCCCAGCTTCCCCCGAGCCTGAAGCCCGCTGTTGTGAGGTGGCCACAGCAGGCCGGGATGTCGCTGGAAAACAGGGATGTGTACCTGCCAGATTCTAGTTCTCAATCGGCCGTGCCTGGGACTTGTAAGAACACAACGTTCACGACGGCAGGGCCTCATGTTCAGGAATGAGCGCGCCTGGAATGTGGGTCACCTGCAGAGAAGATGAGAGTCCAGCCACTACCGAGACTGACTGAAGCAGGGGACAGGAGTGAAACTAACATCGCCCGTAAAGTGGGCTAGGCTGCCGAATGAGCTGTGAGGATGGACTCAGCAAGGAAGGCCAGCAGAGAGAAGGGAGGGCTATTTACAGCCAACGATTCACCTGTCCTTTCTGGAACCTGCCCCACCAGGCACGCTCAAAGGTCCAGGGTCCAACTCCAGACAAAGCAATGTAGCCTCCAGCAGCTCGATTCAGTTCTGCCAAGTCTAGTGTCACTCTTCTCTCCAGTTCTGGGAGATAGATCTAGGCACAGAGGGCAAAGGGCAGTACCCCCACTCCGGGGAAGAATGTCAGACTGTTTTTGTTGGGTGATGTCACCTGCATCTTCAAAGTAGGCGGCAGCTGAAGAGGAAGATTAGTAAAACAACGCCTCTCAAATCTTATGTGCTCTCAGACTTGGGGCTGCCCAGGTAGTTACAAGTAATATCACACTCCATGAGCAGAGCCCCTGCTTATAAATGAATCCTTGCTGTGGCCCCAGGCCCTGGGGACTCCTTGCCGACCACTCCAGCTTCCTCCTCTCACACCCTGCAAGGTGACAGGGGCCCTGGCAAAGCCCGATCCCCAGAACATCTCCGCTCCCCACTCCTCCCTAGTAAGCCCCATTCAGGCTGCAGAGCTCGGCTCAAGGAAGCCTTCCTTGACCCCACCCTACCCAGCCAAAAGGACACTTACCTCACAGTCTTATTTACCACTATGTCCCCAGCACCTGCAGTCAGTGCCCTGCCCACAGCAGGTGCTAGAATCTTGATATCTTCCCCCCACCCCCGTCTCTCTGTCTCTCTGTCTCTCTCTCTCTCTCACACACACTCTCACACACACACACACACACACACACACACACACACACCCCTTTCTAACCAGCCAGCGGTCAGTTTTTCTTCAGCCCAGCTCAGGGTTTCATAGCCACCTTCAGCTACAGGGCTTTGACCCCCAGACTCCAGACCTGCTCAAGTCCACAGCTAGTTTCACGGTGTGGAATCAACATCAGAAAGGGAGACAGCAGAAGAGGGCTAATAAAGGGGCTGGACTGGCAACAAAGGCTGACATAGGACA